ATTATTATTATTATTATTATTATTTTGTTTAGTTGAGCCAAAATAAAACATAAAGAGGAAATATACTTTTAAAGAGATGGAAAGAAAATCACAAATTTGTAAGTGGATATATCATAGCTATTGCTAACTAAAAGCTTATTTTAGTTAATTATATATATTAAAATTCATCGAAATCAAAGTTATACCATACAAAGATTTATTTACACTAAGATATAAAAACTACACCGACAATAATGTAAACATAAATATCTTTTGCATAATACTAATAAGTTCCAAACAACTTTTTAAGAACTCTTGTTATCAAATAAATGTTAGATTCAAAAAGGAGATATAGAAAGGTGATATTGTGACATAAAATTTGCTCATAATTAAATGATTGGTAAAATACATACCCGATACTTACCATACCGAAACATCTCTCCAATTTTGCTACTCATCTCATGTATATCTTTGAGATAGGTCAGAGACTCGTGCTGATAACGTGTTATAAAATGAAGATAATAAATTGAAATAAAAAAGAGTAGAGATAGAGAGAGACAAAGTAATAGTAATAGTAACTTTCTTTTATTATTAAATGTTTTTGCTTCTTGTTCTTGTTCTTGTTATTTCATATTACAAGAGGGGATATATATATATATATATATATATATAGGTTATAAAACTTGGGCGCAAAGTAACTTGGTCACAAAGTTACTTGGCCACAAAGTTTACTTGGACACAAAATATTTTACTTGGACACAAAATATATTGTGTGGACATCCATTTTTCAACAATGTTGAGTTTGAATAATGTCCAAATTGTTTCACTCCAAAATAAAAAGAAGAGTTCAAAAAAAGTAAATCTACACCATCCCCGACATCCGGAGATCTTTCAGGAACAAACGCCTTTTGTCTTCTTTTTACAAACTTCGAGGTATCCTCGAAAATGAATATATTTGAAAAAATTATTGAACAAGAAAATAAGTAGTTAAACGGCCTAAAGTTTACCTAGTATACTAATATCATGTATACAAGGAATACCAAAATAGTAGCTATAATTGATATTATGCTCCAAGTTATAGTTGTTTATGATTTTTTTCCCTAAAATTAACCTTAAGCCCAATCTTCCTCGATTTTTATCAAATCCAATCCAATTTCTTTCCAATAAAGTTATATTCCACGGGCAAATTAATTTCCAGAGCACCAATCTGAAGGTTTTTATTGAGTTATAGCCTAATTTATCTTATCCGTAATATTGTTTCCTAAAGTTAAACAATTCTCTCCAAGGAAGCATTGCAAAAGAAGATGGAAAACTCATTTATTGACCATTAATCCATCCAAACACAGATCAGTAAAACCACACCCCTACAATATGCAGCAAAGTGTATATCTCCTCATGAGAACTTCAGTTAAAGAAAGGACAAGAAAAGTATGAAGATTGGACCTTAACAGATGAACCTTCGATTAAAACTTCAACAGCAATCTAAACAGGACATCAACCACTGAATTGGAAAACTGATAACAACCAGATACACAAATTCATAGCAAAAATGTATGTACATGGCAATTTCTTTTTCCCATTTTATTTTTTTTGGGTGAGGGGTTAAGTACACTGCAAATTGTAACTAGATGCTAGGTTTGGGCAGAAATACATTTGACGATTCACCAATCGATCTTCTTAAATCACCATCTAACACAAAAAACGTTGAAGATTGATTGTGAAAATGAATGAAATACCTATGACAGCTTAAGCCATTTAGGGGTCGTTTGGTAAGCAGCACTAAAACAAATAGTCCATGTATTATGTATGATATTATTTATTACTATGTTTGGTAGAAATTTGAACCATTGTATAACTAATTCATGGCTTAGTTATACCTCCTACATGGTATTATAGGATGTATTACTAATACCTTCCATTTGGAGGTATTAGTAATACATGAGATATAATACCATGGGATAAGTCTATGTAAAAACAAAAATATCCCTCAAATCATTTTAATTATTTTCTTGGTTTTATGTTTTATATTTGTACTAGTAAATTTATTTAAATAAATTAACTTACAAATTATCTAGAGAGAGTTGTTTGTTATTCCCTCTGTCCCTAATTACTTGTTCACTTTTGAATTGACACACCTATTAAGAAAACAATTAATTGACATAGTAGTTTATCATTTTACCCCTATTAATTATGAAGTGAATGGATTAAAAATTTAAGATTTTCAAGAAATTCTACATTTTTCAAAGTAATTAATTGAGGATATAATAGGTAAAATTATTTTGTCATTTCTTGATTTGTCAAAATGGACAAGTAATTAGGGACAACTATAAAAGGAAAAGTGGACAAGTAATTAGGGACAAAGGGAGTACTAAATAAATCCAATATAAATTAATACAATATTTAAAATGTGAGTTGTTTAACATTAACCAATTAAAAAGGCAAGTATATCACCACATAACGTTTGGATCTTAATTGAATGTATAATTTGTTGATATATATATATCATTGCACATGAATATCAAATCATGTACTACACTATTTTTATGTCAATATTATTATATAAAAAATTACAAATGGATTGATAAAGTATAAGTTCTTATGAATAGTGGATGTAAACTTTCTTTGGATTACTAATGAAAGTTGTCAAATCAACATCCAAAAAACACCTATACCTATTTTTAATATAAAGCTAGACATAAATAAGGTGATATGACAATTCTCTATGACCTCCAATTAAATTTATCTTTTTCCAACGTTTGTAAATCACACTTGAATTTTTAAGAAGAGAAGAATAGAAAACATAAAAAAAATTGTAGTTCAAAAATCTTAGGAAACTCCTCCATTTAAAGTTAACAAAGGGTATTATTAGCATGTTCTTATTGTGTCTTATCATAAAAGTAACAACCCTTTAGAAAGGTCAAAATCTTTTGAAAAGGTTACAACTCAGCGGAAAAGTTACAACTCTTTGGAAAAGTCATAAGCATTCAATGTCAAGAAGGCTTCTTTTAATATAATATAATATAATATAATATAATATAAACACATATAATGTAAAATATAGAAAATATACTTAATTGGTTTTTTCAAGAAGAAGAAGAAGAGTAATAGAAAACTTTAAAAAATTGTAGTTTAAACATGTGAGGAAACCCCTTTTTTTAGCCAACAAAGGATAGTGTATGAAATATGCTTATTAAAAAAAGGTACCATCCTTAAGAAAAGTCACAACTCTTCAAAAAGGTCATGGCTCATCAGACTAAGAGTTATGACTCTTTGAAAGAGTCACAACTCTTTGAAAAAGTCACAAATTTTCAGAAAAATCACAATCCTTTAGAAAAGTCAAAAGTCTTTGAAAAGGTCAAAACTAATTGGAAAAGTTATAACACTTTGGAAACGTCACAACCCTTCAATGTAAAAAGGTGTCTGTTTTTAATATAATAGACTATAAATAAATATAATAAAATAAAATAAAATAAATAATATAGAAGATATACTAAATTTTGTGTTTTACATTGGAAGGTGGGAGCATTATAATAATTTAACATTTAAGTTAGGTAGTTCATACTTTTAAGGTAGTATAGATAGATACATATAGATAATAAGATATATATAGATTTGTCTAATTTTATTTTTGGAATGAAATTTTAAAAATAAAGATGGCTTTCTTAAACATGCCCCTCCCCCCCTCCCCACCCCTCTCCCAAAAGGAGCATTCTACATTAATTAAATTGAATAAAAATAAAAGTACAACAAATAAATTGAAAACTTATGAGTAGTTATTAAATCTAATTTAGACTCTTCAAACAAGTTTTTGATCAAATCATTCTTCTCCAATAGTTTGAGGCTTTTCACAGGTAGAATACCTACATGTAGTTGATGCAACATAAAATCATTAAACTTCTTGTCAAGTAGTAGTTGATGCAATAAAATATTGTATTTATAGCAATGAAAATGAGTACATATTGATTATCTAGATAGTCTTCTCGTTTGAAGTTGAGTTATTCAATTCTCCTGGTTGCATAAATTTTTTAGCTGTCTAATTTACCAACAAAATAGAGTAATTGCACAAATGAACAATTCTCACAATCTACCTTGTTTTAAGAAGAAGAAGAATATAAAAATTACAAAATTTGTAGATTAAAAATGTGAGTGAAACCCTCTATTTATAGACAACAAATAATAGTATGAAAAGATGTTTATTGTGTCTTATTAGATAAGTCACAACCCTTCAGAAAAATCACAACCATTTGAAAATGTCATAACTCATCGAAAAAATCACAACTATTCGAAGAAGTCTCTACTCATTAATGTGAAAAGGTGTAAGCTTTTAATATAATATAGAACAAATAAATAAATATAATATAAAATATAGAGTATATACTAAATTGGTTGTTTTAGGTTGAGATATTATAGTAATTTAACATTCAAGTTAGGGAGTTCATGCTTTTAAGTAGTATATATATATATATATATATATATATATATATATTTGTGTGATTTTCTAATTATTTGTATTTTGAACAATTTATAAAATTGCGTACATATTAAAATTACAATTTGCAATTGTTATGGGTAAATGTAGATGGTTTATTCAATTTTACTATTGTTTACCGTCTTTTTTCAATTTTAAAAGTTGATAATTTATCTTTTTTTAAATTGAAATTGATATTTTGTAAGTGATAAATTTACTAGGATGACAATTATTTATCCTCAAATAATTTAAGTGAAAAAAAAGAGGCAAACATGACAACAAAATTGTTCTTCTCATAGCTAGTTAGAAGACCATAAAAAAATAATATTGTCCAGCAATTATTAACCTTAACCCAATTACATAATAATTCAAGGGTATAATTGAAAAGAAATTTTTTACAAAGTTTTAACCCAAACACAAGATGAGGTGGAAAACAATGAACCAAACACTTAGTAAATATAATCCATGCATTACTAATTCCTGCACTATTAATCCCTGCATTACTAATCTCTGCATTATTAATTTTTGTACCAAACGACCCCTTATAGTAGAAGAAAAGCTGCTGGCTGCTGCTTTAGACTTGATGACCAACATGTCCTGTTATAATGGAGGACATTGCTAGCGATGGCACAAACCATTTAGCCAGATTAACGGAATTCCAAGCGCCAATCATATCTCCATGCTATGGCTAGTACACAACTTGTCACAACAAATAGGTTTTCTCCGAGTCTTCAACCTGTGTATGGAAGACAAAACTTGGGAATGAAGTAGTGATGTCCCTGTAAAATGAATCACAAGAAACAATATTTAGAGGTTTCCTTCTGGGCTCTGGCTAATAAATGCAACAGTTTTCATGGAAAGTGCAGTAAGATGTAGGAAGAGAACATAGAAAAGTTTTGACTTCTCTGGTTTGCTACCAAAGAAAGGAAGCAAAACAGCACAGTAGAAACAATTTTCTTTCAGCCTTATGCATATAAGGTATTCTTCCAGTGAGAGGAGAGAATTTGACCAAGCAAATGACCCACCGAACAAAAGAGAGTTCATAAGGGCAGAAGTACAAAGAAAAAGGAATACACATGATAAAGGATGTTTATATCTGGTGTCCAGATTTTTTAGATATTCAAAGGAGATAATCAGTAGCTACCACAAGCTTCCTTCTTTCTTTGTGTTAAGAATTCTCACATCGGAAAAGAGATGGGAATTTGGTTTCCTTAAATGGACTTTGTTATATTCTAAGTGTTTTGATGATCCTCACAAATGCAGGGACTCGGTCCTTGGCAGAGTACTTCTGTCCAGATTCAAAGTGGTGCAGCTGTAAAAGCTATCTTTACAGCTATCTTTGTCAGGTTGGTTGGTGAGATGTGCAGCGTACTTCACCAATAGGAAGGGCGGACGAAGTTGCTTGTTTAAGTGGTCAAAACCCTTGTTGGTAACTGATATATACAACAATAAACAAACAACATTATTCATTCAAGAAGAGAGAGAGCTAGCAAGTCTTTTTCAAGAACTCAAGCATCAAAGAACGCAACAAGGGACCTAGTCCCGAAAAGTTTGCGTACGAGAAAAAGACGAAGAGACAGCTGTCAAAAAGCTGTCAACTCTGATGTGGTTGGTGCACAACTTTTCATAACAATAGGATCTCAACCAATAGCCTCGTCCCAAGGGTTTGTGTCCACTTTGATATAGTCTCTTCTCCAAAACACAAACTCAAGATTTGGCAAACAAAGTTGTGAATTTCGGATAATTCATAAGCTCAAAAAGAAAAGGTCATCTTCAAGGAAGAAGAATGCTCATGCTCAACAAAGGAACCTGCTAGAGTGCTGAAGCGTGTTTGTTGAGTTTGAGATTTGTGTCTATCATTTTATAAGGTTCATTTCAATAGACACAACCTCAGTTTTTGCATCTTGAAAATTCTCAAGAACACAAGCAAAAACCTTTTTCGTGAAGTATTTTTCCTCAAGAGCAACAGGACCTGATAGAGCTGCATATGTCATAGTTGTCTTAGGATTCTTACTTCAGTGCTTACATTGTAAATATGTTCCTATTCTATAAAGGAATCAGATCTTTGTCTTGGTTGTAAAAATCTAAATCAATGGAGTTAACTGATTTAGTGGGAAGTGTTGTATCTGCCTAGTCAAATTCTAGATCATCTAGGAGCTATCTGATTTAGTGGGCAGTGTTGTATCTGCTTAGTTGAAGTCTAAGTTATTTAGGGTCAAATGGGTTAGTGGGCACTGTGGTATCTGCTTAGGCTCAGTAAGTAATAGGCGTATTACTTAGTGTTGAGATTAAGAGGTTAATCTCATTGGTGGATGTAATTTGTGTTTCACTTTTGCTTGAGACAGGTCGTGGTTTTACTCCGTTGAGCAAGGAGGTGTCCACGTAAACTTTTGTGTTGTTTTCTCTTTATTGTTTACTCTTCATTACTATTGTTGCTGAGTCAAGGGACCTGGTCCGTTGACTGATAGTGGACGAACATATTCTATCAGGTTAGTTTTTGGGGTTGCCAAGATCCATCTTTACACTTTGATTGGGGTTCAAACCATCAGAATTTTCTTTTCCTAATTAACCTTCACCAATTCCCTGTAAAGCCAAATGAGAATCGGGGGGGGGGGGGGGGGGGTGGAGGTGGGAGGTTAAGTTTCTCCTTCAGTTTTCCCCTTCCTATTTACCAAAACAAGTGCAGGGAAGAGAAATAGAAGACAGCAAGAAAAGAAAAGAATGCAAATTGAGATCTAATATCAGGTGGTTTGCAAGGTCGTTGAATCAACAATAATAAGAGCACAGCAGCCATGATATAAAAGAACAGTTAACATACTTCAAATAGGGCAGAGTCATGTTCTTCAGCAATGACGGGTATCTAATAACGAACTCTTTCCAGTCCTTCTTATCAATCTTGCCATCCCCATCAGCATCGGCATCAGCAAATGTCTATCAGAAACATGGAGACATAAAGATTATGATATGCAGACATGGGTTCGGAGAAAAGATTCACCTTGACAGAAGCATACCTTATCAATAATTTCCTCGACCAGTTCATCAGATAGCCTCATTTCGGATTCCATCAGAATTGCAATTACCATTTGCTTAACCTAAATGAGGAAACTTTCAAATCAATTCATGGAAAAATTCATCTAGAAATAACTTGGACGTCAACTTTAACACAGAACACTGCAAGTAGATAACAGAGGTAGACCTAAGCTATGCACCAGGTTCTGCTGATGCACTTTTATTGGAGCTGCCTCTTGTATCTCTCCCCCCCAAACCCCCCAAGAAAAAGGACTGAAACAACCTAGACTAAACATTCCCACTTTCAGTTAACAAAAACTCAAAGGCTACCTCAGGATTTTAACCTTTATTGCATCAACATATGTACAAACAATCATTAGCTACAACAAAAGGAAAGGTCAAACACTTCGGCCTAACGGGAATGAGCAACGACAAAATGAGAAGATGAGGTTATGTACTTTCCTTGTACCATTATTGCACCAATATACTCACTTGTATTTCAAATGCACTGAATCAACAATAGAAGAAAAAAAGGAGTGTGCTCTGGATTAATAGAAGGATAACTGATGACTTCTAATCTAGTTCTGGATCAGCATTGTATCAGCAATGGAATTGATCACATAAAATAGGAGTTTAGAAGCTTCCAAGTTAAACAGCTTTCTAAGCATATAATGTTATCAAGAACTTGTCACTGCAGCCAAAATATTATCAATCTCAAACTTGTGCTTCATATATATCAGCTGTAACATCTTTTAATAAGTTGAAGTAAATGACTTGTGGGAAAATACCCTGTATGAACCTTGTGTGGGCTCACTCTTCTCCCACTTCCGTTGCTCTCAGAGTAGTATGATATTGTCATATATAAATAATCCAGTTTAAGTTTATCAATCAATCACTTCGCAATATCATTCCCATCTGACTTAACAAATCATTTTGTATCCGAAGTATTTTTTGAGACACCATCAGTCAGATCTATATTCTAGTTTCAGTTTCAGAATCAATCAACTTTCTACGTTTACATACATTATATAGTTTATAGCCTGCAATATGTGAGAGAAATTTATACTCCTTCGCTTCCAGTATTTCTGAATAGAACTTAAAATACTAACATCTGCAAACTAAGAGTGCAGGTTATCAGCAATTGTTAGATCCGAATAGAAGGGGTAGTTATTTAGAAAGCATCTGGTAATATCACATCTTTGGAGTAGAAAAGAACTTCAAAGCTGTTGACAGAAATTCTCAAACTTGTTTACTCACTTCTTCTCGTTCAATGAACCCAGTTTGTCGTAAATCATACAACCTAAAGGCAACTGCAAGAGAAAAAAAGTGATTACAATGAAATACACACGCCAGATAATTTGAATAGAGAAACTATTAACTAAAAGAATGGTTTACACCCCTTACAGTCTATTTTGTCGTCTATTGGTGCATATGGATGGAAGATATTAAGTGCATGGATAAATTCCTCAAACTCAATGACTCCATTCTGCTTTTCATCAAAAAGATCAAAAACCTGCAGAAAAGGAACTTGGAAAGTTCATCAACATGAAACTAAAGACAATTTCTTGACGAAGAAATTAAGGTCAGACAAAGTTGATGCAAGGCAAATATCTTTTAACTCTTTCCTCATTTTTTAGCTATCCCTGATATATATTTCAACTGTTAGAAAGCAGCATGTCCTCAATACAGTTAAACAAGATACTACATGTAAAGAACCACAAAGCTAACAGCACAGTTGACAAATAACTAACCCTACTTATATAGAATATGGCAAACTTCAGATGATTGATCCATCTGACCCACCTAAATGTACTGATAAATGACATGGACAGCCAACTATAATAATGTGACATATTCATATCTATGAAGAACCCCAAGGCTGGCAGTTCATATATAGACCCAGCAGATAACCTATCTTTTTCAGTTGAAGCATCAAAGTGCATGTAAATTGGCATGTTCAGCATATTCAATTCTCACACAATCCATATATAATATGCTAGCATTGTTCTCATGGAATGGAGATAGATATCCCAAGAGAGAACACGAGATGAACTAGGACCAGAAGTTTTAGTGCATTTACCCGGTCCAAAAAGAGATTCTCACCACATGGAGTTTGAAATAAGGCTAGCTGAAGCTCTTCCTGGAAAAGAAAGCAAAAGATAAATATAACATGACAATAGTTTCAAAACTCTGCATATACTTCAGTAAGAAAAAGTAAAGAGGGAAGGGAAAAGACCATTCAAGAATCTAAAAACTGCAAAAAAGTGATATGCGGCATATGCAAATTTGTAAAAAATAGGTTCGAAAAACTAATATTCATCCTCTTTCCTTCATTATACCAGAAATGTCTAACATAAAAGTGAAACTTCACCGGAAATGAAGATAAAAGTTGAGATAGATGTCGCTGAAAGGTTAGGACTGAAAATTGCACAAATCTCCACCTACATATTTCTCTATGTACGAAGACTCGTTCAATTTCAGGAGAAGATATATTACTATGTCAGCAGATAAAACACACACAAATAAATGATGCATATTGCAGAGAATTTCTTTAGTTCAGCCACACCCCATAATTAAGCTCTATAACCCAGATCTCCTTTCCAACTTAACCCTTACATCAAACTTAAAACCCGAACGCAAGCCTTGCTGGGCGCACCTTTACTTCCAACACTCCATTCCGCAGATCCAACAAATGACAAGAGGGTTTCTGATGCACAATTGATTTGTGAAAAGGCTAATCCAGGAGACTACACGAGGAAGATAAGAAGCTAACACAGGAAAATCGAGAGTTTAGTTGAGACAGAAATATTAGAAGACAAAAAGAAGAGATTTTGTATTTCATAAGATGCCTTACAATGAATATTACAATCGTACTTATACTCATGTGAATGGATACAACTAATCAAAAGAAATCCTAACTAACTTTCCAATGAACAGTAACTCTGACTAACTTTCCAGTGAACAGTAACTCTAACTAACGTCTGGAATGTAAATAACTAGAGAAAATGATCAAAATGGTCCTTGATGTATTGAGGTTACTTTATTTTGGTCCTTAATATATTTTAGGTGATTGAAATAGTCCTTCATGTATAACAAAATGTGTTCAATTTAGTCTTTTACCCTAAACTTAACAATTTATCCCCAAAAACTGTTAAATATAACTGTGGAGCCCACATAACTTACAAAATTCACCATTTTTACCATCTTTATTAGCTCAAAGAAACAGTTTCATGACCATTTTCTCTAACATCTAACCACACAATTCACAAAATAATTATTGTAAAAAGGTTGAATGAAATGGATCATCAAGAATTTCATTTGTCAGTAGAACTAACCAAGATAGAAAATTAAGTTAATTGTATAATCTAGGAATTGAATGGTATAATATTTGCATTTACGTTGTTCTTGGTACTTTCTATATACATGATTGCTTTTGTTAATCTATTGATATTTCTTTCCTTTGGTTATAATCCTCTTTTGTTTATTGTTTATTTAAAAAAAAATTGTCTGGAGTGATTAATTCTCCAGAAAGGTCAACATGTGGGATGGTGGAGGTTTTTGGTGGGTAATCTAGAACAAGTTTTACTTTGTGTATTGGGGTTCTTGAATTTCATGTTATTGGGGCTATTGCTGTGAATTTTTGGTATCGTCCTTGTTTGGTTGTTGATAAGTGGGTTCTACTAGATTTATTTTTTGGTATTTCTGACTGAAGTAGCTATGTAACTTGTGTATTCATTCCTGATGTGGCTCTGCGATTGATGAACGGGACAAGATTCAGTGTATGAGTTTAGGTTCTTCTTTGTGTGAAGTTATGCTATGTTGTGTTAGTTTTGTCTTGTGATTGTAAATGCTAATATGGCTGGTATTGCATTTGTTCTTGATAAAATAGTGTTAGATTTTGAAGTAATAAATTAAGAAGAGAAAAATAGTGGATTTGTAAATTATGTGGGGTCCACCGTTATATTTAACATTTTTTGGGACAAATTTGTTAAGTTTAGGGTAAATGATCAAATTGAATATATTTTGTCATACATGAATGACTATTTCAATCACCTAGAATATATTAAGGACCAAAATAAAGCAACTCATATACATGAAGGACCATTTTGATCATTTCCTCTAAATAACTAACAGTTTCCTGTATTCACTCAAGGAACCTATTCCTTACTCTTGATCCTTGCACCAATTTCCCTATCTCTAGCAAAACTACATGTTAATAATACTCTGTCATCCTAGTTTCGTTCCAAGAATCAAACAGATTGGTCTTTCTTTTTTTCAAATAAAGTAACTTTAACAATGAGCATCATCAACAAGAATCAATCAAACAATATTCTGAGTAATTTTTTACTTTTTCATCATTTTGGACGGTAAGTTGCAATATATGTAATTTTTTTGTAAAATTGTTAAATATACTGAATTAGTCTAAGTGCACTAATATCCAAAAAAATTATCACAAATTACGAATTGGAACAGAGTGATAACAAAAGCAAAACCCTAAAAAAAGGACAAATCACCTTATGTATCAAACCATCATCGATAATTGAACAACTCAACTTCTTAAACAACTCGTGTAATGCTTCCACTTCATTCACATTAACTGAAAAATCAAAATTCACCAAAAAAATGATTCAACCAATACAGTTCCAAATCACTTTTCGGGTAAAAAAAAAATCGAGAAGAAAATGGAATGTTAATTACATACATCGAGATTCACCGGCAAGTCGAGCAAGGTCCGCGTAGTCGTAATTAAACTTGTTCTTTGGAGGGTAATGACATTCGAAGCAGCCAGAAACAGCATAAATACAAGCTTCAATGAGTGCAATAATGGGGAAAAATGAAGCACAAATTTTCTCTGAGATTGTCAAAGAACTCCAACTCTGAAGAATCCACAAAACAAGAAAAAAAAAATTAAATAGAATTTTATGTGAAATAAAATGAATTGTTGCAAATTACCAGAGAACTTCGCGTGGAATCCATTGATTTGTATCACATTCTCGCTTGTAGCAGATTCACAAGATTACCAATAAAGAAGACAGAGAGGAGAGAAATGAAATACGCTTTTAAAATTTTTATTAGTTTAAAGTTGTTTTTACTTCTCTCCAAATTATTATTTTTTATTAGCAGAGTTTGAAATTGTATATGACTATCAATAATTCAGAAACAAAATTTATAAACTGCACAAATTTAAAGTTGTTTTTAATGCTTTTTCTCTTTTTTTCTAATAAAATAGGGAATATTCTTTTTTTTTTAATTAAAATAAAATAAGCATTTATTGATATATTTACTAATTTAAAACTAAAATAAAAGGTCGATAATATTTTATTTTAAGCTAAAATAAGTTTAAAACATAAGTCTATAAGCCCAGACACTCAATAACCCCATCAATAAACATTTTAAATATATTTTATGATTTGAATGAACATAATGCATTATATTTAGGTATTTTATAATATTATGATTTTTATATATTAATTTGCCAACTAAATATCAAAACGAGCATGTTAACGCCCAAGTAATATGATTAAATACTAAGTAGGCGTTTGACCATGCGATATCATATCACGATATGGTATCGTGAGATGGAATCAGTGTTTGGACATGCAATTTTACGCTGATTCCATTTCATGATTCCATATCATGAGAGGTGATACCATATTCTCCAAAAATCATGATATGGAATTATATGGTGATTCCATATCATGATTTGAGATTTTTTAATATAATAATTGATCCATGAGTTTATATTTTGTTAAAACAACCCCACATTTATATCTACTAACCATTTGTTTCATATGTAAATAAAATTTATAATCACATCATTACTTTTTAAAAAAATTTATTCTCACCGACATAAAATTTATTATTCTCACCAACATATAGTCACTTTAACTCACACCTCACAATTGTGAAACTTTTCAACATTCACTTAAAACAATTAACCAGCATGTTAAAATAGTTACCGAGGCAATTAGCAAGATGACACCAATATTTATCCAACCAAAAAATATGACTGGTGTACATTTCAAAATTCAACATAATACTTGATTTTGGCCTTGATTTAAGGTAAAATTTCAATCACATTATTAAATTTATTTTATGGCCTTAATAAGTGAACATTTATATTTTATGTGTAAGTTATTAGTATTTAGTTACATATTTCCTATCAACTTTGTTTAGAGAGATAATATTTATTTTATGACTTTGCATTGTCTTGGAAGCACTATTTTTATTACTCTTACAAACATTATTTTTATGAAGTGCATTCTATAATGCTTCCAATTTATTTTATGTTCACTAAACTAATATTGATGTATTTTTTCTTTGGTAGGATTGTGTTGGTGCGATTGATGGAACATATGTAGAAGGGGAGGTTCCTAAAGCGGTGCAACAAGCATATCGTAACCGCAAAGGAAGAACATCACAAAATGTCTTATGTGCTTGTAATTTTAATATGCGATTTACCTTTGTTGATGCTGGTTGGGAAGGGGTACTGCACATGATAGTAAAGTACTTGAGAATGCACTTGTTAAACCAACGTCACAATTTCCATTTCCGCCACATGGTAACTTTAAATTACATCCTTAGACTAAATATTATTTATTTACATAAAATTGTCTCATTTACGTCACATATGGTTTTAGTAATTCTTTATAAAATGTTTTTTGGTAGATAAATATTATGTTGTTGATGCTGGTTTTCGAAACACAAAGGGATTTTTAGCTCCATACAAAGGACTACGCTATCATTTCCAAGATTACCGAGGAAGTGAAAGAGAGCCTCAAAATGCCAAAGAACTATTTAATTATAGGCATTCATCTCTGCGCAATGTAATTGAATGGACTTTTGGAGCTTGGAAAAATAGATTTAGAATACTAAAACAAAGCATGAATCATTATGATATTGATACACAAGTGAAAATTGTCTTAACTTGTGCAGTGTTAATTACATAATTATTTGCGAGAATACCAAAGTAGTGATGAAATATTTATGGTCTATGAACATGAAGATATAGTTGCGGAGGATATTGACCAACAAATGGCTCAAAGTAACAATGTTGGTTCGTCTTCTCGGTCACATGATCGAGAAATGCAAGTTCAACGTGAGGAAATTGTCCGTACTATGTGGGAAGATTATATTAAAGACTAGTACACTACAATTTATGTTCAATTTTTTTTATTAAATTAAAGTTAGATGAAACAATTACTTAAGTGGAGAACAAATAACTTTATAATAATTTATTATGCGATTTTATAATTTTTTATTTATTTGATAAGATTAAATAAACAATTGGGGCTATTTTAATAGTTTTACAACTTATGAGATTTTTATGTTTATGAGAAAATATACAACACAAAAATTTCATATCGCATATCCAAACAAACCTTCAATTTAATCTTATGATTCCATATCATGATACCATATCATGATTTCATATCATGATATCATATCGCATGGCCAAACGGACCCTAAATATATTTATATGGACAAAATTTTGATATTAGGAAAACATTAGTGCTATTAGTATGCTCTTTAATCATATTTAAACGCACTTGTTCTTTAATGTCAGTGCAAGATCAGATCCACACGACTGTGCCAATGCCAAGTGTTAAGTTAAGGTGGTTTACGTAATAAAGTTTACTTTATCTTATGGAGTATATATTTTTCTATTTAAAAAGTATGAGTGTTTGTATTGTATTAATGTATCGTTAGGCTAAACATGATGTTTATTTTGATAGTTGCTTTATTATATTATACTATTTAAATTCATTATTATGTAATGACAAAAGAATCATTTTTTGTACGGATTAATTTGGTGTGATTATGTTGTTATCTTGATATTTTCTTCTCATGTTATCTTAGTTATTGTTTAATAATTCTATTTTATTCTTAATCCTAGTTTTTTTTTTTATAATAGCTCTACCTCATATCCTATTTTATAGATTTATCATTCAAATTATTGACGTGTGATATTATATAACGACGGACAACAAAATAATTTATTCAAAAAAATAATTTTATTTTAAAAAATAATACAATATAATATATTATATTATAAAACAATACCTAACCCATGCGGCAAACACAAATTTTGAAAAAGAAAGGGATATTGTCTAGTAAGGTTTCCAAAAAAAAAAAAAACAAATAATGAATGAGTCACAAGCTTATCGTTTGGTAGTTAAAGTTGTCTAATGATTTATTAAGGTTTCCACCAATTGATTGGTGCAATAATTTATTAAGGTAGCATTTGATCATTTTTAATATTTTTTATTAGTCAATTTTAGATGAAGTTTCAAAATGCATTTGATCATAATTTAAAAAATATATATTTTATTTTTAAAAAAAGAATATGAATATAATTTATAGCTATAAGTTCTAAAACCTATTAAAGATATTCATAAGTTTGAAGTAGACTTATCATTTTATAATGAACTAGATAATACATTATTCAAAACACAACTATCTCATTTATCGGGTTGTGTATTGATCGGTTCTGAAGTTTATCGGTTATCAATTTGTAAAAATATTAAACAGTTATAGAACCATTGAAATATTGATTTATCAATCGGTTATCAGTTTATTGATCATTGATTTAACTATTAAGCTTTGACAAAAAAATCATTGAAAATAACTTAGAAACAAAGTGACAAATCAAATGAACCATATTGTATATGAATTGATATATTGCATATTGGGTAAAAGAAAACACTGACACGTCGTAGAATAATCGAAAATTTGAGAAAACCAAAATAAAGGTACGAAACTAAGCACTAAATTAAACACTTTATATACAGATGGGATGAATATAGTTTACCATCCGATTATCGATTACCCCGTTAAAAAATCTCAAACCATTAAAAATCGGTAATCCGATAATTTATAAAATTAAAATCATTATCGAAATCATTAAATCAATAACCCATTATCGATAAATTAATAACTTTTTTTTATTCGAATTATCGATTTTAAACAACCCTACACCCCAACCAATCAAAAAATGTACAAGCATAATTGACCCTACTACAGATTACAATAGTGATTTCTTTTTAGGGGAAATGACCTTTTTAGTCCCTGTGTTATTGCCTAATTCCACTTTTAGTCCCTGTGATATTTGATTGTGCACATTTAACCTTGAATTAACTAGACTGGGCAATTTTAATCTAATTACTAAGAAATATTAACCTTGTTAACATATTGCTTATTAACGGAAAGGGCAATTCTGGTACTATAAAGTATTAGCTATTTTACTTTATTTATTATATAATAAAATAATTATTTTATCATTTAAATTTACTCTAGATTCATGTGCTAGCATATTGTCAGAATTACCATGACATACATTGCATTTACTTTTACTTTCTCCTTCATTTTAATTTTTTATCTCTCTCTCTTAGAATCACATGAAAATACATATGTGTTCTTCTCTCCTATCTTATCTCTTTCTCTCTCTTAAAAATTCAATGTAGAGCTCCCCAAATATTGATTTAATACTAAAGAAAAATATACGATGGAGCTCATATTGGAGTGATTTTTGTTTCATTTGAATCAATTTTTGAGATTTCTTCTTAGTTCTTCTTCAACTCGAGATATGAGGTAAGTCTTTTTTATTTAACCTTACCGATTCGATCAAGCGATTTTGGTTCTTCAACTCTACATTTTCACTGATATTTGCTTAAGCTTTCAAATTCAGGTAATATACTTACATACTTGAAGGTTTTATTCTCTTCGAAAGAATAAATGGTGTGTGCATGACAACTCTAGTTTAGTTGGTGTGATGAATTGCTTTTTGGGAAATCACTTTTTCTTTTGCCTAAATCTATTTGTATCCCTTTTAAAATTGCAGTAACCCCTTTTGAAGGTGCTGGAAATGAAAGGTCTGAGCCTGAAGGTCCAATAATTGCTTTACCTCTTGAATTTCGACGGAATCCTTGTCGTTTGCGAAGGTATCTTTCACTTTGTAGTATTGCAGATTGATTAATAATGAAACTAATAGTTATCAACATTCAAATGTCCTATCTCACTAAAAATCAGTAAAAGGTGGTT